TCGCTTCGCGCATGGGGCGCCCGTCCTAAATCTTGGAGCGATCGTCGAGGACCACGCGCCGTTGCCGTCAGATCCCAACTGCGGAGAAGGAGTGAAGCAATAACAAAACGATATGTACAGTTTCCGTGAAGATCCCAACTCTTTTTGCACAACAGTTTGATTATTCGATGGCATAGGAAGTTCTTGCGGCTGGACTTTGGCGGGCGTCGGGGAGCATCTTCACCGGCCCCAAAGAAAGTGCGCAATCGATCATATGCCAAGGGGCGAAGCCGCAGATGTGCCGCAAAGATCCAAGGCAGATTGCGTTGCTAGATCTTTGGTTCCACGCGTGGGTTTCTGTTGCGCCCCGCATCTCTGGCGGGGCCCAGGCGTTGCTGAGGCGCGAAAATCCCGCAGGAGACGCAAGGGAAATGGATTTCAATATCGAATACGAGCGGGGACAAGAGGAGCGCGAGAAGATTTCGCGCCGCGCTCAGCGTTTCGTTTGCGACGACACTGCGCACAGTGAGCTGAACAAGTTGTGGTTGATACATTACAGAACAGTTATTGTTTCAAGAGCTTCCGATGCAGCGGCCAACCTCGCCGATCCTAGTCTGTGCAAGCACGCGCGACTCAACTCGTGAACGCATGCCTGGCAGCAGCCGTGGGGGGCTCTCTGGTGCTGGTGGTCTGTGTTGTTATTGGCCCTGCCGCATGATTTAACATGGCGCCTGCCTCTGCTTTTGCCACGGTTGCTTGCAATGGCTTCAACAATGATCTTGAACGCGTATCCCAAATCAAGAATATCCACGGCGACAGCAAAGAGAAAAACTCTCACTCCAACAGTGTGTTGATTACATCGCAAGCAGAGGACAGAAGAAATGTTTTTGTTTTCGATGTTGGTATTGCAGGCCGGCACTGCAGCTCTGATTGTTTGGACGTTGACAATTGAGCTGCTGTTGCAGGACGCATGGGTGCGCCTTAATGCGCTTCATAAAGCGATTATGATCGAGTGGCTGATCTTGCTTACGGTGGCAATGTAATTCGTCAGTTGTGTGTCGAACTTGCGATGCAAGGCAGTTGCTCTTCGCGCCAGCTTGAGCCGCGAACCGATACACTAGCTTGTGATAGTCCCAAAACCATCAGAGAGCAGCATCACGGAGCAAACTTTGCAGAAGCAGATGTTCCCAGAATTCCTTGCTGTTCCGGGAATGTCGTCCGGTTGAGGTCGCTTTTGGTCGAGAGGTGGATGACATTTGGACGAAATCTGGACGAAAAGTTGAAGAGTCGTGCTCGAAATCTAAATAAACGATGTCTGGTCGAAATTACGTTTATGATGGGGCCGTGGAGGCCCATTGAAGCTCCCACGGGCTCCCACCCATGCGCCTCGTGATTCAGGAGGGGAAAAAAACACAGACACAATTAATCGTCGATTCCCCAGAAAATATTGGAAAATATGGGAAGTGGGGGGGAAGACAGAAACCCCCCAAAAAAGAGAAAATATGTGGGATCTTTTTATTTGTGTGTATCTATGTGTGTGTCCTGGGGCCCCTTCAGTGATGTCTGTCCCCAGTCCCACTGGGAGAGCCTCGTCCCCGCTGCCCGACCTGCCCCGCGTGGGTGGGGAGGGGCGCCAACCCCGTCGGGTCTCTCGCGGCATCCGCCCCCCCACCTCGAGGAGGCAGGGATGCAAGGGTCGGGGGAGAAAAAGATACGGATACGTGTTGTCCCCCTTCGTTTTCGGCCTTTCCTGGTCCTCCTGGGGAATCCTCGTTGTCACCGCTGGATTCGCCTCGAAATTCTGGTCAGAACGCACCCCAAGAGAGGCCCGGGGACAACACGTATCCGTATCTTTCCGCTCCCCAAAAGGGTGCCCTCGAGGGTGCGAAGTTACTCGCGCTGCGCGGTTCGGCCGCGATGCCCTCGCCATCCTCCTCTTCTCCCCCGAGGGGCGGCGCGAGAGCGCGAAGGTATTTGCGCTTCGCGCAGCGCGAAGCGCGAAGTGAGGCGCCCTCTGGGAGGTAGCGCTGGGGAACCCGAGCCCGCTGGGGGGATGAGTCTGGCGATACTCGCAGACATTGCGAAGGCTAACATGGATGAAGCCGCGTGGATTAGCGACGGGTCCCGCTTCCATGCAACATCGGCGCGCGCTATCGCCAGATGAGGCAGCACTGGCCTCACGCGTCGGGGGTACCTTCCCGGATCCATGGATCTGGCGCCCACGCACCAGATCCACGGATCATTGATCCGTGCTAGTGTGGAGGAGGAGCAGGAGGAGGAGGAGGAGGTGTTTCCTCCCACGGCCCAGCCTTGCACCAACGGGGAGTCCTGCCGAGATCGCCTGCAGGGGGTGCGCTCGCTTGCGAGGGCCTCGCCCGCGTCGCGTGCCGCCCTCGGCGCCGGGCCGGCGGCGGGGACACGGTGGCGACGCGGCCGGCGAAAGAGAGCTGAAGGCAACATGAGTTCTCTCCTCCTCCTCCTCCTCCTCCTCCTCCTCCTCCTCCTCCTCCTCCTCTCTCCTCTTCGCCCGCGCCGCCTCGCCCTGCCCCCCGCGCCGTGCTCGTGAAAGGGCGCGCGCCGAGCAGCCGGCCCCGCGCCGAGCAGCCGACGTTTTCGCATCCAGGGTTCCCTAAATCAGCCAAGGCTGTTGGGGGAGGGGGGAGGGGCAAGCTAGGTGCGCTCGCGTCATGTCTGACGTCCTACCCATCCCTCCCATCCCTTACCGTGGCGTAGGTGTCCTTTCTATTCGCACAATCGTGTGTCGAGCACGGCAATGATCGCGAGAGGGTACGTGATGCATGATGGTGGAGCAAGGCATGGCATGGTGTAGAAGAGCACGGCAGAGCGTAGCATGCTATAGCATGGCGTGGCATTGCGCAGTGAGGCATTGCATCACAAAGCATTGCAACGCAAAGCATGAGATCGCACAGCGGCGCAGAACACAACACCGCACAGCATGTCATGGCATGGCGCTGGGTTCCTTGGTGGGTAAGTGGATCGATTTCGAGAGGTCTGGGCCAGTCTGGAGTCGTGACTCAATGTCTAGCTTCTTGGGCTCCCCGGAAAGCTCCACACAAGGCCGAACTGGTGGAGAGCACCCGCTGGCTCTGCTTTCAACATCGCCTTCTCAAAGCAGAAAACGGGGCTACCGCGGCCCAAAAAATTAAGGAATCGACACCGAATGTGGAATCACTTCCGATGGTTTTTCGGAAAGAGCGTGTTCTACCGCTGCTGGCGAAAAACCGGGGGGGGTCACTACCGGTTCGAACCCCCCCCCCCCTCGAAAACTGGGGGGGGTCACTACCGGTTCGAACCCCTCCCCCCCCCCCCCGTCCATCATAAAAAGGGGGAGGGGGTTACTACCGGTTCGAACCCCCCCCCCCTCGAAAACTGGGAGGGGTCACTACCGGTTCGAACCCCCCCCCCCTCGAAAACCGGGGGGGGGGGCGGACAGTGGTGGGGACGGTGGTGGTGGGGAGGGGACAGCGGGACAGTGGTGGGGACAGTGGGACAGTGGTGGGGACGGTAGTGGTGGGGACAGTGGTGAGGACAATGGTGGGAACAGTGGGGACAGTGGGACAATGGTGGGGACGGTGGTGGTGGGGACACTGTCCCCACCACCACTGTACCCTCCACTGTCCCACTGTTTCCACCACATTCCCACTGTCCCCAAACCACTGTCCCCACCACCACCGTCCCCACCACTGTCCCACTGTCCCCACTGTTCCCACCATTGTCCTCACCACTGTCCCCACCACTACCGTCCCCACCACTGTCCCACTGTCCCCACCACTGTCCCGCTGTCCCCTCACCACTGTCCCCACCACCACCGTCCCCACCACTGTCCGCACCCCCCCTCGGTTTTCGAGGGGGGGGGGGTTCGAACCGGTAGTGACCCCCCCCGGTTTTCGAGGGGGGGGGGTTCGAACCGGTAGTGACCCCCCCCCCTTTTCATGATGGACGGGGGGGGGGGGGGGGTCTCGAACCGGTAGTGACCCTTCCGGTTTTCGAGGGGGAGGGGGGGGGGGTAGGGGAGGGGGGGGTTTTGCTGGGGGACGGGTGGGGGGGTCCAGCAAGGGGGGGGGATTTTCGGAGGAGGGGGGGGGATCCCCGGGTTCCCGAGGAAGAGGGGGGGAGTTTTCCAAAGTAAAGCGGCGGTGAGTCACGCTCTCTCTTTTTTCGGGAGGCCATTTTTGAAATTGTGGGGCCTATCTCGAAGGACCGAAAACGATTTGGAACAACCAGAGGCGCAGAAATGGCGCCAGCGCTTCAGCGGGAGCGGCATTTTGAAGAACAGACCTAGCGAAAACCCACTCCCAGGAATCCTGTGTTTCAAAAAAAAACAGTGTTCGGAGGAGGGCTGGGCATCTTCCGGACGTCATCATGGGAGAGAGGAGAGTCATATTCATTGTGTAGTTGTGGAAGGGAGGGGAGGAGAGGTGGCGAAGGGGAGGGGAGCGGGAGGGGAGGTGGATGGGGGCGTGGGGGGTGGGGGGTCAAACGCCTCACCCCCCACGCCGATCCCCAGGGTATGGGAGCAGCTCGCCGGGGAACCCAATGAGTCCCCAGTCCTCAACCTCTCTCTCCTCCCAGAGTGGGGCGCCTCGCATTTGTCCTCCGAGTCCGGTCGCGCTGCCTCGCATCTGCGCCACCGCGCTTCGGGGGAGGGGGCGGCGGGGCGGGACGGGGTGCAGGGGAGGGGATGCCACAATCGCATGGGCGTGGTCAACAGTTTTGCTTCGCGAGGAGCGAAACTAGTGAAGCGAAATGGACAGACCATCCGCTGCAAGCGCGGTGGCGGATATCATGCCTCAATGCTTGCCCCCATATGAGCAAGCTTGTGATTCTCTCTCCCCGCATGTCCGACCCATTCTCACGGGGCGTAGCTTTCTTAAGCGCGTTGCGCAAGAAGCATTGCTAGTTGGCACAATTGTCGTTGATGATGCCATCCGCTTCTCCAGAAACGCGCAACTTGCTTCTGACATCACCCTCCTCGCCTTGCTCATCCACCCCGCTTGGAGGAGGTGGCGTTCTTGAGGTACCGACAGCGCGAGGATCCCGGGATGCAGGGTATTCTGTGTATTGCCTCATCGTATGTGTTTCTATTTCGTTGATTCCCGTCCACTCTGTCTTTTTTTTTGTTTCTCTCTCTCTCTCTCTATATATATATATATATATATATATCACTCTCTCGCTCTCTGCTTCTCTCTCTCTCTCTCTCTCTGTTTGTCCCCTTCTTTTTATACCTTGCTCTATCTCTCTCTCTCTTTTGAATGTATGGTGTCATTGTTTGGGGGTCTGAGGTTACGTTTTTCCCCTGACGCTCCCGTGGACGTTAGGTCCTCGTTTTGAACCCGCGGTGCTCGCGTATCTTCGCTATTCGGTCTTCCTTATCCTCTCACCCCTCTCCGCGTGCCCACATCGTCACCATCCCTCGCACGTTTCGTGCACAGCAGGGAGCTGCACCCACGGGAAACGCACCACCGCGGCACCCGTTTCGGCGCACTCTTCGTGAGGGTGGGGAGCTCCACCCACGGTCGCACTCAGCAGGCGCCGACGCATCGGCACACGCCTCCCATTCGGCGCACCCTTCGCGAGGATCGTGGCCCCTTGTGGAGCTCAACCTGCGGCCCCCCTGACAGGGTCCGTACGTCCCCGCCGCCCACCCCAGGGCCTCTGGCGCACTCCTCACAAGGATCGTGGCCTCGTCGGGAACTCCACCTACGGCCCAAGCGCATCCGGCACCACGGGCGAACCAGTTAGTCGGTCCCCCCTTTCCTCCCCGTGGGCGCGGGCATCGCACGGGAAGCGCCGAGCCAGCAAACGCTTTGGACGAAGTCCGAGAAGAGTGCTGACCCGGGCTTGCTTCGCACTCTCGCTAGGCCCAGGCGAAGCCAAGCAGAGGCCACAGACTAGGCGACCACCACCACACAAGCCGGAAAACAACGTGGCGGCACCGCACAATTCTGCGCTTCGATCACGTGGATCGTGGCCTTCATTTGGAGCTCCACCCACGGCCCCAGCAGCAGGGTCCGTGCTGTGGCGCCCACATCTCGGCGCACCCCTCACGAGGACTGTGGCCTCGTGGGGAGCTCCGCATACGGCTTCAGTGGGAGGGGCCTCCTGGCGGCGCCGTCCACTTCGGCGTGGCCCCATCCCACCCACGGCCCAGTGGGAGGGCCCGCATAGCGGCGCCGCCCTTTTCGGCAGTTCTCACGAGGATCGCGCCCCCATAGCACCTACGGCCTCAGTGAGAAAGTTTGCATGCGTACTTCTGCCGTTTCGGCACACCCCTCACACGAGCCCCAGACACGGCCCCAGTGCGACACTGTGCATGTGCCCCCCCGCAACACGTGGAGCAGCAGGCGCTGGTTTGGGGCCAGAGTACGAATGAAAGAGGAGCCGCAGCAGGAGGAGGGAGAGGGAGCCTCCATACGGGGCAAGGAGGCCCGGTGCAGCGGAGGCCTTCTGAAAAGGTTGGTGGTGGTTCGCTGATGCACCTTCTGGCTATGCCTGGATTGAGCACGGTGTCAAGACAAGGCGGAACGGCTTGGCGCACGGCGGAGTGCGCGCGCGGAGCGCTTGCAATGCGCGCACTTCTAAGTCCGTTCCCTCCACCTCCCCTGCCCTCTCTCACTGCCCCTCCCCCTCTCCTTCACATCCGCATCCCCTCCCAAAGGACCTCCTTGAGCACTGGGAAGCTTTCGAGAAAACTGGCTATGAGGCCCTGCAGGCCGACTGGGACACTCTCGTGCTCTCGTATGGCATTCCGTTCGATCTTCTTAGCTTTCCTGAGGTTCAGGGAATCACTGTGCACCACCGGGGTGCAACTGACGGGCCCTGGGGAAGGCGAATCTACACCGACGGCTCAGGGCTAAGCAACTCTAGCCCCGAGCTTAGGAGGTGTGGATGGGCCCGTGTCGGCGTGAGCCCCTGGAGGCTTCCCCTGAGGGCCTTGTACGGGCCCCTCCCTGGGCGCCGGGCGGTGCCCCGTGCTGAGCGCTACGCGGCCCTCCGTGGAGTCCAGGTTGCACCCCAGGGGGTGGAGGTGGTCACGGACCATTCCTTCCCCCCCTCCTCGCCCCTCGTCTTCCTCCTCCTCTTCCTCCACCGCCTCTCTGGCGGAGAACATATCAGCTTATACATGTCCATAGTTCCCAACCATCCTGTGGTGTTGGGTCCTCGTTTTGAACAGACGGTCCCCGCGTTCCTCCTCCTCTCCTCTCCTCCTCCTCCTCCCCCTCCTTCCTCCCGTCCCCAGTGCCACCGTCCACATGCGTCCCCCCACTCAGTACAGCGCTTCGTGGCCCCATAGGGAGCTCCACCGAAGGCCCCAGTGCCACCGTCCACATGCGTCACCCCCACTCAGTACAGCGTTTCGTGGCCCCATAGGGAGCTCCACCGAAGGCCCCAGTGCCACCGTCCACATGCGTCCCCCCCACTCAGTACAGCGCTTCGTGGCCCCATAGGGAGCTCCACCGAAGGCCCCAGTGCTACCGTCCACATGCGCCCCCCCAACTCAGTACAGCGCTTCGTGGCCTCATAGGGAGCTCCACCGAAGGCCCCAGTGCCACCGTCCACCACTCAGTACAGCGTTTCGTGGCCCCATTGGGAGCTCCACCGAAGGCCCCAGTGCCACCGTCCACATGCGTCCCCCCCACTCAGTACAGCGCTTCGTGGCCCCATAGGGAGCTCCACCGAAGGCCCCAGTGCCACCGTCCACATGCGTCCCCCCCTCAGTACAGCGCTTCGTGGCCCCATAGGGAGCTCCACCGAAGGCCCCAGTGCCACCGTCCACATGCGTCCCCCCCACTCAGTACAGCGTTTCGTGGCCCCATAGGGAGCCCCACCGAAGGTCACAGTGCTACCGTCCACATGCGTCCCCCCAACTCAGTACAGCGTTTCGTGGCCACATAGGGAGCCTCACCGAAGCCCCCAGTGGGAGCGTCCGAGTGCGTCCTGAAACACCCAATTTGGCATTTTCACCCACCCATTACAGCGTTTCTTGGCCCCACAGGGAGCTCCACCGAAGGCCCCAGTGCCACCGTCCGCATGCGTCCCGCACACCTAACGTGGCATTTTCACCCACCCAGTGCAGCGTTTCGTGGCCCCACAGCCCCCAGTGGGACCGTCCGCATGCGTCCCGGAAGCCGAATTTGGCATTTTCACCCACCCAGTACAGCGTTTCGTGGCCCCATAGGGAGTTCCACCGAAGCCTCCAGTGGGACCGTCCGCATGCGTCCCGGAGGCACAATTTGGCATTTTCACTTACCCAGTACAGCGTTTCGTGGCCCCACAGGGAGCTCCACCGAAGCCCCCAGTGGGACCGTCCGCATGCGTCCCCGAAACCTTACTTGACACACCAATCACCCAGAACAGCGTCCCCCCCACCCAGTGCAGCGCTTCGTGGCCCCATAGGGAGTTTCACCGAAGAAGATTTTTACAATTGCGGTACCCGCAACAGCATTTGGTTGGGTCCTTCGCCAGGATATTTATTTTTTCAGGCTGCTCACGACCGCGCCGCTGCAAGCCGGGCGACTGCCTTCTGCCAGCGGCAGTGCGTGCAGCAGCCGCGCACTGCAACCGATGTGCCGTCCAAGGCACGGTTCTGACTAGTCGAGAGAGAGGCTCTTGGGACCTTGGTTTGGGATCGGCGCGAGGAGCTCATGCTGACATGTGGCGCGAGATGTTCGAGCTTCACTCTGAAAGCCGCACCAGGCCTCATTTGGTTGGGTCCCAGAGTACCGTACGCTGGACCAGGTCTCTGGACTCAGTGAAGACGAAATCCGGAAAAGTACATAGGCAACCTTTGGGCTGGCTTGTTCGCTCGACTGGGCTCGGGAATGCACCGTGTTCCCGATGTTGCAGTACAGGCAGAGCGTGCATACAGGAGGGGCGCGCATCAAGAAACCATATTCTTTTCGTCGGGGTATCCTGGGTTGCTTCGCTCCTGGCGCTGCGCGGTGACTTCCCGCAGCCGTTGAAGGAGCTGCTGCGTTCAGGGTGCTCCAGGTTTCCCCTCAGGTGCACCTCGCGCGCGGGTTCTCAGGGTTGGGTTTCTTGCAAGGGTTTCTTGCGGCCGCGCCCGCACCATGTCTAAGAAGCACCAGGCCACCTGGGATGTTCTGTCGCGAGCTGGGCAGATTGTGAGAGAGCTGCGGGCGAGCAGACTGGGCCTCCGCAGCCCCCGCAGGGCGCCCCGACTGGCCAGGAGATGCCTCAAGGCTACATCGGACTGCTGCTGCAGCAGCACGGTTTGTGCTACAGCGAAGCTCGATTGGAGTGGAGATGCAGGAGGTGCCATATCACAGCCGGAACTGAACTCACTTCAAAAAGGGGCTGCGCATTGGGGTGCCAGCCGCAGGTGCGGCCCGACGGCGATTCGGCAGTGGAGAGCCTCCGATCTCTGTCGGCAGCGGAGCGGGACTGTGGTCATCTCTGAGTCCACGCCCGCTGCTCCTGCTGCAATGGAACTGGCCAGTGAGAGCCTGGGACCTCTCCCGACCTCCTCGTCGGCCCGTGGGGTCCTGGGGCCGTCTCCCCTGCCTCCCGAAGCCTCTCCGGAGCCCAGGGACCTTGGCCGTAGTGAGCATGCGGATGGCCCAGCTGTTCTTCGAGGCCTTGACCACAGGCCGATTCAACAGGGCCGTGTATTGATGTGCCAGAGCTGCACTTGCCATGATGGACCTCAAAAAGACACGAACCTGGGTTTAAAACGTTCTGGGATTATTGGCCAGGGTTCATATGTCTCGCCCGGAACATTATGAACCTGGGTTTCAATGTTCTGGGAATATTGATTGGGTTCATAATGTTCCCCCCGAGACCTTGACCATAGGCCGATTCAACAGGGCCGTGTACTGATATGCCAGAGTTGCGCTTGCGTCGTTATCGTGCCCGACGGGAGATGCGGGGGCTTCGCGAGGAGTTGCCCAGGCCCCCCCTCAGGAGCAGAGTGCAGCGTGCGGCGCATGTAGTTACGCATTTTCCGATTGGTGGAAGGAGGGAAGCAGCCTCGGACGGGTGAAGATTTGCCCGAGCCCCGACTCCCCTGTGCCCCTGGACCTGGGGGCTCTCCACAGTCTGCTCCCAGCCAGGATGAGCCAACCAGTCTTGTCATGCCGTCGGGTGATCGACGCGCCGCGCCTCGAGGAGGCAGCCACGAGACACACGGGGGCGGAGGCTGTGGGCGTTGACTCGGGGGATGGGTCCGACTGAGGTGGCCGCGATGCCGTACCAGGCCCCTCGGTCCAGCACCTCCTGCGGTCGCACTCTGCGGCCATGTCCGCGCGACTCGCTGCCTCTCGGCGCCTGGCGCGTCTCGTGCAGAGCACGACTGGCTCTGCTCCTCGAGCGGAGGGGTGGGCTCCCCCGCTTCTCCCTCGGCGATGCTTCGCTCTCGGCCGCAGCTGTCGAGCCGACTGCTGCTGCGCCGCTGGCATCAGGTATCCGCACCCACTCCCTTCCCCTCCCCCTCCTCCTCCTCCTCCTCCTCCTCCTCCTCCTCCTCCTCCTCCTCCTCCTCCCTCCTCCTCCTACTCCTCCTCCTTCTCCTCCTCCTCCCTCCTCCTCCTCCTCCTCCTCCTCCTCCTCCTCCTCCTCCTCTCCTCCTCCTCCTCCCTCCTCCCTCCTCCCTCCTCCCTCCTCCTCCCTCCTCCCTCCTCCCTCCTCCCTCCTCCCTCCTCCCTCCTCCCTCCCCCCTGCACCCCCCCCCGTACATTCCCCCCATCCCTCCTTCGGCTGCGTGCTGCTCGCTCGAGCCCAGGCTCGAGGCGAGGACCGCACCGCCCCGCTTCATCCGGTCGCCCCTCGTCGCGCCGAGGAGGACGGGCTGAACGCCGGCGTGGTGAATTTTGTGGTGGCGTTCTGGCAAGGGTGGCCCCCCCGCGTCCGGGGAGAGAGCTGCGAGCTTCTGGGAGGCGAGGGTGATTTCCGAGGACAGGCACCGGCGGTTCGGAGATGGGGGCCCTGAGGGATGGGGCCCTCAGGATAGGAGGGGATCCCTGGGTTCAGTTTGCACCGAGGGCCCCATCCCTCAGGGTCCCATCTTTGAACCGCCGAGCGCGGAGTTGTGGCCCCCGCGTCCTCCCTCTGTGCACGCGCGTGCTGGTGGGCGGCGGGCCGCCGCGGCCGCGTGCTTTGTCTTGCCGGAGGCAGACAATAGGCTTGAAACTTGCAGGCAGAGAGTGACCTCCGTTATGAGATCGATCGGTCGATAGTGAGGTCCATCGGTAGATAGTAATATCGGCGGGCAGGTGGTGAGATCGTTAGATGGCGAGGCCGAGGGAAAGATCTGTTGCGAGTCCGATCGGACGCCGATCGCAAACCAGGAGCTGCGCCCATCCACTCCCACCAGCCTCCTTATCACCCGAAGGGTGATCTGGGAGGTATCCTGAGTGTGCGGGATCCCCCGCCCTCGTCCCCTGAGGTGCCCGCCCTGGCTCCCCTGAGGTGCCCTCCTCCTCCTCCTCCTCCTCCTCCTCCTCCTCCTCCTCCTCCTCCTCGCCATCCTCGCCCTCCTCCTCCTTCTCCTCCTCCTCGCCCTCCTCCTCCTCCCTCCTCGCCCTCCCTCCCCTCCCCTCCCCTCCTCCTCTCCTCCTCCTCCTCCTCCTCCTCCTCCTCCTCCTCCTCCTCCTCCTCTCCTCCTCCTCCTCCTCTCCTCTCTCTCCCTCCTCTCCTCCTCCTCCTTCTCCTCCTCCTCCACCTCCTCCTCCCTCTCCACCAGAGAATGCTCTAAGAGCCTCCTGTTCCCACGGCCCCAAGGCTTCCTGGAGCCACTGCACAGGAGAGGTTGTGGTGTGTTGTTCTTCCCCGCTCCCCGCCTCCTTCCCCACGACGGCGCACCCAGCGGAGAAGTGAGAGGTGGCAGGGTTCCACAGTGAGATAAGCCAGGGCTTCGCCGGAGGCGAAGCCCACGGAGGCTTCGGAGAAGGCTGGGGAACCTTCCTGGAAGGCCTCACTCCGGCCTTCTGAGCCTGCCGCGAGCCCCGCCCCCTCCTACCTTCCCCCCCACACCCCAGGCACGCCGTCGGTCCTCGCTCCGTCCCTCGATCCTCTCTCCTGCTGCTTATTTGTGTTGACTCCGTCCTTCCTTCTTCCTCCTGCCTCCTTCCTTTCCCCCCTCCCTGCGTCCCCCCTCCCTCAGCCATTCCCCCCTCCTCCCTCCGTCCTTCCACCTCCCCTCCTTCCCTCCGTCCTTCTGCGGCCCACTGCGAACCCTACCCCTGCGGTTCCGCTCGACGGTGGTGTATCGGAGACGCCCGTTGGAGATATTTTGGCTGCAATCCCCCCTCCCTCCGTCCCTCTTCCCTCTGAGGCTAGGCGGGCTAGGGTATGGCCTCGTCCGCCTAGTCACGCCCTAGTCCGCCCTCGTGCTGGCGGGACGTCATCCTGAATACGTACGGGGTGAGTGCTATTCTGTTCGGATCGCATCACCTCACCAGCCCATCCAGATCTTGAGGGGCAACGCTGGGAGGGAAACAGTTTCGAGGTTCCAGGTTTTCGGACATGCTCATCGGTTCCCGGCAGTTTTCCAACTTCGGGATGCGTTCCAGCAGTTGCGCCCCGCCGAGAGCTTTGCAGGGGTGCCCGAATCATCCCGAACGGCCGCCAGAGACTTGAGCTATGATCCGGAAACCACACGGATCAGGGGCAACATTAGGGGGGACAGGTTCAGGGGGAATGCATCGACCCCCAATCGTCCATTCATCGCCGATAGGTTCCCGATAGCCCACCCCACCACGAATCATTTGAATTCGTTGTCTGTGGCCGATCGCCGTCGGCGACGCATCGCCGATTTCATCTCCATGTGTTTCCTCCTGGACCAGTCCCCCCCTAACGCTTCCTTTCATGATAAGCCCATCCAGCGATCTGTGTCCCGCTCATCTAGTGCGTGCGGTGTGAGAAAGTACAGCTGGGCGTAGTGCCATGTGTGCTGGTATTGCCTTATCAGTGCTGTTTGGTGCGAGGTGTTCTCCCGTCTGAGTGCTGATTTCTGGGCGTGCCAAGTTTGCCATCTACAGAAGTGCGGCCATGCAAGTGGTCTTTTCTCTTCGTCTTCCTGCTCTTCACCAGCCGCCGCTTCCCCGCCCAAGTACCAAGTCTCCAGACACTTCCCGTCCTCGTGCCTCCTGCCTCCTTGCTTTCACTTTCTCTGTTTTCCGTGTTTCCTCTTTCTCCTCCTCCTCCTTTTTTCCAAACAGCTTGCTGAACGGGGTGCTTTTGTGATAGAAGCTAACTCCGGCCGAGGGAAAAGGGAGCAGAGACATCCTCACAAAAATCTGATGGTCCGGGCCGTTTCGCTTGAGACATCCTCACAACTCTCGTTTCTGAGTTGGCCGGGATTGGCCGTTTCGCCTGAGACATCCTCAAAAAGTTGCGCTCTGGGACGCCGCGCGAGAGGTGGTCCGGGCTGTTTCGCTTGAGACATCCTCGAAACTCTGAGCCCCGAGGTGCCGTGCGAGCGGTGGTCCGGGCCGTTTCGCTTGAGACATCCTCGAAACTCTGAGCTCTGAGATGCCTTGCGCGAGGTGGTCCGGCCCGTTTCGCCTGAGACATCCTCGAAACTCTGACCTCGGAGATGCCACGCGAGAGGTGGTCCGGCCCGTTTCGCCTGAGACATCCTCGAACTTCTGAGTTCTGAGATGCCCTGCGCGAGGTGGTCCGGCCCGTCTCGCCTGAGACATCCTCGCAACTCTGAGCTCTGAGATGCCGTGCGCAAGGTGGTCTGGCTTGTTTCGCACAAGACATTCTTGCAACTCTGAGCTCCCAGATGCCGCGCAAGAGGTGGTCCAGCTTGGGGGACCAGAAGACCACATGTTAATTACATGTCCTCCCTGGGAGCCCCAGGAGGCCCTAGAGAGCTCCAGGAGGCCGCAGGACGCCCAGGACAGGCCCCAGGGGTCCCCAGGAGATTCCCAGGAGGCTCCCAGGAGGCCCCAGGAGGACCCCTATCAGAACGTGTCAAGTTAATACACATCCGGTGTCGATTCGTTGATTTTTCCTGCTATTGTGCCCCCCCCCTCCATTTTGAGGGGCCCAAACGGCCACAGGTTAGATATCCCCCCTGGGAGCCCCAAGAGGCTTCAGGAAGCCCCAGGTGGAGTTCAGGAGGCCACAGGAGGCCCAGGAGGAAGCCCCAGGAGGTCCCCAGGAGGCCCCAGGAGGCACCAGGAGGCCCCCGCAACTCGGAGCTTTGAGACGCCGCGCTCGAGGTGGTCCGGCCCGTTTCGCCTGAGACTTCCTCGCAGCACGTTTCGCCCGAGACATCGTCGCAACTTTGGGGTCCGAGATGCCGCGCGCGAGGTGGTCCAGCCCGTCACGCTGGAGACATCCTCGCAACTCTAGGCTCCGAGATGCCGTTCGGGATGAAGAGGAGGTGGAGGAGGAGGAGGAGGAGGAGGAGGAGAAGGAGGAGCAGGAGAAGGAGAAGGAGAAGGAAGGGAGAAGGAGGAGGCGGATGATGTGGATGAGGGAGCAGGCAGGAGGAGGAGGAGGAGGAGGAGGAGGAGTGAGAAGGAAGGGAGCTGCAGGAGAGGACCTAACGGGAAACGAGTGTGACGTGGACTTGTCAGAACGTGTGCGAGAGGTTGTCCAGCCCGTTTCGTTTGAGACATCCTTCCAATACTGAGCTCCAAGATGTCGCTCGCGAGGTGGTCCGGCCCGTTTCGATTGAGCCATCCTCGCAATGCGAGGCTCGAAGATGTTGCGCGCGAGATGGTCTGGCCCGTTCTGCCTGAGACGTTTCGTAGCACAGGGGCTCCAATCACAACCTCTCGCCCTCCTCCCGCATCCCGCCTCCCGCTGCTGCGCCTCTGCCTCCGCCTCCCCGTCCCCGCCGTCGTCGTTTCTGCTGCCTCAGCATCCGTCATGCGCGCACTGCCTTCCGCCCTCCCCAGACATCCGACGTCACGATTTTTCGTTTGAGACGTGCGCCGCGTACCTCACGATATCATCCCGGGGGGACCATCACGACATGCCCCCCCGCTTCCGCGCCCTCCCCCGCTTCCTCTTACAGTTGCTTCCGAGTTCACAGCATGGCGGTGGAGCCTCTCGCAGTGCCGACCCGACAGCGTACTCGTCGACCACGTGCGAGAGAGTACGACACCCTCTAGCGTTAGCTTCCTGATAGGTATGCGTCACACAAGTTTTCGTGCAAACATCTCATGTGCAAACATCATGCAATCATGTTCTATATGCCATGCCAGTCCGCACTGGACGGGCGCGCGACCGACCTTGGAAACCGCAGTCGGTCTAAAAACCCTGTTTGGGGATACTGCACTCCGGCTATAATTTTCACTGTTGTCCGCCATTCGGTCATCTTCAGGACGCGTTTTAGCCTCGCTTGTGTGTGCGTGTCTGTGTCTGTGTCTGTGTCTGTGTCTGTGTAGTGCGTGGATGTATGTGTGCGTGTGTCCGTGTGTGCGTGTGCGCGTGCGTGTTTGCGTTTGTTTGTCTGTTGTTTTTTTTTTGTTGTTGTTGTGTTGTTGTTGTTGTTGTTGTTGTGTTGTGTTGTGTGTGTGGTGTGTGTGTGTGTGTGTGTGTGTGTGTGTGTGTGTGTGTGTGTGTGTGTGTGTGTGTGTGTGTGTGTGTGTGTGTGTGTGTGTGTGTGTGTGTGTGTGTGTGTGTGTGTGTGTGTGTGTGTGTGTGTGTGTGTGTGTGTGTGTGTGTGTGTGTGGTGTGTGTGTGTGTTGTGTGTGTGTGTGAGCGCTTGGGAGCGCGAGAGTGTGAGAGTGTGTGTTTTCGACGGGTGACGCAGTCAGCGAGAGCCGATTGCAATGATAAGGTTTTTTGTTCCAAGCCAACTCCACTACGCAGTGCCATCAAACTCCTGAGATAAAAGTGCCGCGCCGAGCTGGGCTGTGCACGCGTGCCCC